TGCTGGCCTCATGGAATGATCTATAAAGTATTCCCTCTGCTTCTATCCTCTGAAGAAGATTTTAGAGCATTGGTATAATTTCTTCCTTAAATATTCAGTAGAATTCACCAGTGAACCCCTCTGGGCCTGAGCCTTTCTGTTTTGGGAGCCTTTCTATTTATTCAATTTATTTAAAAGATACAGGCCTGTTCAGATCTTCTGTTTCTTCCTGTGTAAATTTTGGCAGATTGTGTCTTTCAAGAAAGTGGTTCATTTCATCTAGATTATCAAATCTGCAGGCATAGAGTTGTTATCTTTCCATTAAAAATAATATGCTCCTCCACCTCTTAGGTAAATGGTAATAAATTATATAGACTTTTCTATAACTTGGTCTCATTTTAGTAACACACACAACTTGTCTTTCAAAGACCGGTAGAATAGTGTGTTTATTTGAACCTTGATGACAAATATCCTACAACCCCATTCAGTCTGGATAACCACTTTACAATATCAAGGGAGTGTCTTAGCTTAATTATAATACAGGTGCTTTTTCATGTATTTGATTTAGCCAAGATTGGATCACGTGTGGTATCTAAGGGTAGAATCCATGTCTATTTAACTCATCAAATAAAATTTTAATATTTTTATTGAAGTAAAGTCAGTTTACAATGTTGTGTCAATTTCTGACTCCAGTATTTGGTAATGTTGTGTCAATTTCTGACTCCATTATTTGGTACATTTTTTGAGATTTGGACCTAGTTTTAGGAGAGTGGGTATAGAAGTAGGTGCCCAATAAACAATATAGCTCCCTCCTAATGATTTTTTTGAGAAATATTTTACTGTATATGTTTGTTTCTTAGTTATATATGCATTTTTCTCTTCTACAGCCACAGGATTCGATCTGTGGGGTGCAGTAGTGGCTACTGGGGTGGTCTGCACATTCTACTGCACGCTGGTACGTCAAGCACATTATTTCTCCTTGTTTTGCAAAATTGAAGATTTCAGTAGTCATGTGCTGCAATCTGGGTTGTTCATACCTACTCTCCTACCTCACACAGTATAACATTTTTGTAAGAAATATTCGGTCTAGGTTAAATTTGATCCTTTGTAGAACAATGGTCATAACTGAATTTTTTTCTTTCACCTGAACCATGCAGTGCTCCCTAATTTTTGTCTCCTAAGTCTCCCTTACTGTTGCCACGTGATAGCTGTGCTCATATTATCCCTTTGCTTAGAAGCCTGAGATGAGCAACAGTCAAAGCATGCAAGAACCAGTATGGCATAGGCACTGATAATTGTCACGGATGCTCATCCTTGGTAGTGGTGCAAGTCTTATGCAATTCCTAATATTCTGGGTCATCATCCTTTAGTTGAGGGATCTTTTAGAAGACAAAGTCCTCAGGGAGGGGCTGGTTCAGCCAAGGTCAGAGGGACTGGTGGGGGACACTTGGGAAGTCTGTGGCAGTGGCTAGTACAAAACAATTTTAGTTTTTAAACAACTGCTATGTGCATACTGAATGAATATCAGCCCTGCCTGTGGGAGAAATCTACGATATTGCCGTTTGCAATTTGACTCTGAATTTTCTTCCGAACAGTATCCCCACACCACTCCACTTCACTCCAAAATATATATGTATATATATCTAGCCACACTCAACATGCCATGTATTTTGACTTCCCTGTGCTCTTGCCCATGCTCTTTTCTCTGCTGGGAGGACCTTCCATCTTGAACTCTGCTTATGTTTGAAAGTTTTGTCTAAGTATTACTTTCTTGAATGTCTCCTTGGGTGCACTTCGTGGTCAAGATCCATGTTTTCCTTATCTTTGTCTAGCATAGTGTATAAGCATGTAGATGCTTAATAATGTCTAGTAGAAGCATTAATCCTAATACATTTTCCTCTCGAAGGGTGGTCTTAAAGCGGTTATCTGGACAGACGTTTTTCAAGTTGGGATCATGGTGGCCGGATTTGCATCTGTGATTATACAGGCTGCACTTATTCAAGGTGGAATTAGCACTATTCTAAATGATGCCTATAATGGTGGAAGATTAAACTTCTGGAAGTAAGTTGCTATTTACTTCTTGGTTAATAGAACATTCCTTTTGCTTTTTCTGTGAAAATAACCTCTTTACTGAAATAGTAAGTTTACATTACAAAACAAACAAACCACTAAAGATGTGGTACAAAAATTTGAAGCTGTCAAGTAAACGTGTAAGGAGTTTTCACCAGGTCTTTAAGGGGTTACAACAGTCACGTAATACTTAGTTACATGGTATAGAGGATAGTGCTTCCTTCTGAGAAGGGATTGATAGCAAAAGAGTATTTTCTTCCAGATATTAAAGTCTGGAATAGGTTGAAAAATGGGGTAGGGAGTTAAGAAAAGATACAGTAGAGAGATAAGAAAAGGAAACCTCTTAAGAGAAAAATGCTGAAAGACAGTGATTCCATTTTGACAGTTCTTTGGTTCAAGTAGTCTGGAGAATTTCTCTTTTAGTATTGCCCTGGCAATATATAGCATTTTATGATTAATACTAAATATATACAGTATTAGTATTAATAATAAATATATATTGTATATATGTATATATATGTATGTAGTATGTGTGTGTAAATTTTATAATCTACATTATGTAATACTGAATATTATTTCTAGAAAATTGACTAGAAAGGTTATTGCTGACGCCTCATATGTCAGTATAGCAGATGATGTAACATGTCTTACAAAGCCTTTCAGTTTTCCTAAAGACTAATGGAGAAACTGGATATTCCATCACAAATATACCACACAATTTAAAAGAATATTTAAAAACACTTTCTCTTTTGGATCAATAGCTTCGTCCTTATACATCACGTTCAGTGTGCAGAGA